TAGAACTAATTAAGGAGGATTTCTTCTTCTCAATGTTATGAAATAATTTATGCAATATAGGTACCAGTTCTTCTTTGTAGGTCTGGTGAAATTCAGATGTGAAACCATCTGATCCAGGACTTTTATGGGTCAGGAGGTTTTTTATTACTATTTCAATTTTACTACTTGGTATTGGTCTGTTCAGAAGTTCTGTTTCTTCCTGATTGAGCCTAGGAAGATTGTGTGTTTCCAAGAATTTGTCCATTCCCTCTACCTTTCCAAGTTTGTGAATAGAAATTTTTGTACTTTTCAGAGATGATGCAGTAGACCTCTGTAAGTTGACTACCCAAAGGACTATAACAGACTGGTCAACATATGGAGGTGGTCAATATAGGAAACCAGGCCTACTGTTCTATTACGTACATGTGGTGCGTGTCCAGTCTATGAAAATTAAATCCATGTAAGGAGGTGGTCATCTATGGAGGTTGTGCTGTCTTTTGAATTTCTGTGCTATCAGGTGTGATTCCTCCTTTTTTATTTCTGATTGTGATCATTAGGATTCTTTCTTCCCTGTTTCTGGTTAATCTAGTGAGAGACCTTTGTCACTCAGCCTAGAGTGCAGTGACATAATCATAGCTTACTATAATCTCCAGTTCCCCATCTCAAGTGATCATTTTGCTACAGCCTACTGAGTAGCGAGGACTACAGGTGTGTATCATCATGCCCAACTAAAGTTTATATTTTTTGTAGAGACAGGGTCTCACTATATTGTTCAGACATCAAGGGATCTTCCCACCTTGACCTCCTAAGTGCTGGGATTACAGTTTGTGGGCGTGAGCCACCCCACCCAGCTGATGCTATCTTTAATAAAATTGTTTAAGTCCTTTTTTATCTAAGAACAAAACCTAATACCCATCCAATGTCTAATAATAGGATTAGAAAGAACTAAAAGTGTTAGATTATCTAATTTTCCATTAAATGAATAGGCAATAGGCACATGGCTGTCTATACAATAGTCCTCTCTTATCTGCAGTTTCACCTTCAGCAATTCAGGTGCCTAAATTAAAAAATATTAAATGGAAATTTCAGGAAATACAATTACTAGATTTTAAATTGCACACCGTTTTGAGTAGTGTGATGAAATCTCACATAGTAGGATCAGTTTAACAACTTACAATGGTAGAAATTTTCTTCAGTGGTAAAAAGTAAGAGCTACTAGAGAAATACCACTTCTCTGACCAATGAATTCAGTCTTAATCTATACTTTAAATTCATTTCTTATGTATGAACTGAGGTTCATACATAAGAAAAGTATAGGGAGGCATAATCTTTTGAAATTTAGTTTTGACAAAGTTTGATTTTTCAAACAGGATTTTCTATGTTTTAAGACTGTTTCATCGAGGATATTATGTTTCTTTTATTATTCACTTTTAATGTCTTCTACTTTTTCCATCCTCTGTCATCTCAGATTACTATGGAGCAGAGATTGGAATTCAGCTATGGAGGCTGCTCTCTGTTCAGGGAAAAATAGCTTTTTGTTTTACCTACAAGCTGATCTGTAATTGCTTGGGTAATATGATAATGGATTCTAATAACTAAACTTTTTTAAAGGGTTTTGTTCCTGTACAGTACATTTTGTTCTTAGTATTTGCTTTTCCTTTTAGCAAAATTAACACTTCAAAAGGATGATAGATGATCTGATAAACCTAATGTTCATTTAAAAAGTCAGTTAAACTGAACGATTTTAGGAAAATGTACAAAAGTCAGGTAGATGAACCAGTTTAAGAAAAAGTAAAATTTCTCCATGCTTTAAGGAAAAAAAAAAAGCTAATTTCTGCCTCCCACTTTCCTACCCACCACTTTCTCTTTTTGCTTGTATTTATTTTTACAGCCATGGGAGTTTTTAATGGGAAGTCACTTCTCTTATCTTAGTTCTTCCTGCTTGCTTCTCTTTTTCATTTTCATCTGTTTATTTTTCTGACATGTATTAATCAAAGTCCAAGTTACGGTGTAGACTGGAGCTATCTGGTTGTATCATTGTATCCATTTCAACCCAGCCCAGCTGGCCTTTCATTTGGTTTCTAAGGCTATGATCTCCAAGACCATCCCTCTCTACCACCACCACCAATAGGGATGGACTTGTATTTCTCTGGATGTCCCCTTGCCAGCTCCTGGCTGATAGCCAATTTGAGATCCAGAGTTAATGAACCTGTATCTGTCATGAATTGGAAAAGCTGCCGGGGCACATGGTTGGTAAGGGCCTAATAAATGTTTGGATGAATAGAGAAATGAATTTGCAAAGAAATATTGCTCATAGCTGAAGTCCTTAAGGAATGAAGCTATTCAGGCAAGTGTTAGTATCCCAGTGTGTTTCCATTAGTTTACTGTAGCCCTCAGGTTCTCTGGTGAGTTTGGATGCAAGCATGGCCTGGCAGGAATGGCTTGTGCTGTGAGTCATCGGGAGGCTTCCCAGGGAGAAGGCTGTCAGGCATAGGGATTCCACATTTAGTTTTACTTTTAGTATGAAATGACTCCTACAGCCCTATTGAGGGATCAGGTCTCATTAGAATTAATGCTTGAAAGACAACCTTGCAAAATCTGAACTTTCTCACACTGATTAAGAGCACGATCGTCTTGGACAAATTTTTGGATTGAATTGGCAAGACACAATTTTCCTCAAGTCCCGGGTTTCACATTTGCACGTGCTCTCTCATGCCTTTGTGTTTTAAACCAGGTTGCTGTTATAAAGAGTATTTTAGCAGCCTTGATCTTGGAGACATCAAGACCATTATTCCTGTTGTTGCTGATTTAGTGTTACAGCTGCTTCTTCTTTATGCGATTTAATTTGAAGTTTCAGCCCACCAGGGGGCTATTGGTCCCCACCTATGCAGCTTTAAGAGCTGGCTGCTGTTTTCTGCTTGGATGTTATTTCCATTCCTATTCATAGTGATTTTTTCCCCTTCTATATTCATCTAGCAACAGCAAGGCACTGTTCCAGGAACTCGCTTTCTCTACATAAGGCATAACATGGAACCATTTGGATGGAAAAATTATAAATTAAAATTATTCTGTTCTTTTTAAAATATTCATATTGTGTTGCTCAAATGCCAGTAACTGGAAAATCATGGATAATGTCCTGTTTTTATAACCTCTTTCAGAATGTTTTAAAATCTGTTTATGTTGTTACTTAGCCATCTCTTTTCCTGGAGTGGATTTTGTGATAAGATTTTTTTTTTTTTAAATAGGTTGTATGAGTCCTGTCTGATGGCATATATATGATAATATTAAAGATGAAATCACTAATTGCAATTCATTTTTTAAGTAGGAAAATATTCCATACACAGAGAATAAAATTATAAGACTAGAAAGATAGCCTGTGGACATGCCAGACTGTTTCTTTAGAGGATAAAGCGTTTTATTAAATGACTAAAACTAAGCAAAGGTTTATTATTTCTGGGACTAGGTGTTTAATTTAGACTAAGAAAACTCATATATTCATAAAACTACTGATTTAAAATAACATTTCCAATTTTTTTAAAAAATGGAGCTCCTTTTTGATATTTTCTGTTCTCAGTGCTAAGTTACTGATTCTTTAATTTGGAGAAACTAAAATTTTATTTTTATTTTTATATTTTGGTGTATGGGTATGGGTGAGAATGTACAAGTCTCAGAAAGATAGGCAGGAATATTGAAAATGGTATTATGTGGGTTAGATAGATTTTTGATAAAAATAAATATATCTTTTATTCTAAAACAAAGAACAATGATTAGAGATCTTAGTTTTATGCTGTGTATTTTCCCACCTCTGTGGAACAAACTAAAGAGAGTGAAAAATCTTTATTTTTGCTTTTTATTCTGTGCATTTTAGGTCCACATTCACATAAAAGCTGTGTGTTCTATTTGTTGTCTCTCTTGGCTAGGAATACTTAAACGTGTTTTGGAAACTCTTCTGTCATCTCAAGACAATTTAAAGTTATAATGTTAAGATGCTTTCTAGAAACTTACAGTTTGGGTCAGGCTAAAGTTCGTGTGCCTCTGGACGTGCGGAAGTCAGAAGCAACGAATCACTTGAGCATAAACACATTTCACAGGCTCATTTCATCATTTGTTTTAGCCTTGTGCAGCATTTGGTCTTTTAAAATAGCTAATCTTTTATTTGAATATGGGTTCAGAGAAGTTCTAGCCTTGAAAACCTGGATGATTCTTGTTAACTCTGTTTTAATTCATTTTAGGTTTCATAAGGTGATCCAAAAGTATTTCCTCTCTATGTTCGAAGGGATATTATTGCAGAGTATAGTACTTGAGGTCAGGATTCTTTATAGCACAATAACAACAGATATATATATATATATATTTTTTTTTTTTTTCCTGAAAGTCTGAGTTACAAAAAATAGGATGCAAGCTGTCGTAAACAGGTTTCCAATGCAAACACTTAGTTGGTACAGCAACCAACTTTTTTGAATGCAGCAGTAAAATACACTGTTTTTAATAGGATAAAGAAAATAGATTAGAATAGTTACAACAGGAAAAATGGGTACCTTATAATTAATATTAATACTATGTGAGTTAAACCTTCACTACACTTGACGTTTTTCCTTGGGTTGGGGACGTACTGATTAGTGAGTTAACTGCTGGTAGTCTGTAATCTGTGGAGTGACTGTTTCCGTTCCTTCAAGGGCTTACAGTGTTCAATAAAATAGGTTTTCTCTGAGGTGGGAATGAAGCTTTAGTCTTGATCAAAGTGCTTTGGAGGAAGCACAGTTGAACTGATTGGCTGTGAATGTTAATCACTTCATAGGATGCACTGATAATTTACAGCATTGTTGTAACTCTCTGGTGTTCATAAAATGAACTTAATAACCCACTGCCACCATGGGATAAGCTGCTTTTTCTTTGCAATTGAATACCCAGACTGCCTGAATAATAGGGTTGAGAAATACTGCATTAAAAAGAGTGAGCAGCTGTATGATGAAGGAAACAGCTCTGCAACAGATTTGTTAATTATCTCCTTTGATTCACAGAGGGTGTCTGTGAGATATGGTTGACCAGTGAAGACACAGGGGCTTATGGCAGAGATATTGGCACCAATCTCCCCACACTCCTGTGGAAATTGGTTGAAGTGATTCCTGAGGGAGCAATGCTGAGGGTTGGCATGACAAATCCGCCCTATATTTTAGAGCATCTGGAGGTAAGAAAAAGCACCCATTTGCATGCTGACACAGACACTAACCAATCCAGACGATGTGGCAGCCTCAGTATCATTGCATGAGCTTTATTTAAAACCGCTTTCATGTTATTTGCAGTCCCACATTACCAAGAATGAATCGAGACTTTCAAATCCCCTTCTTTGGGAGTCAACACTTACTGTTTTTGCTTCCTCGTCATTAATTAATGTTGCCCACATTCTCCAATACTTGCCACCTTGTCATGGTTCTTTGTTTCTTTGTTGTGGTTTCTTTAGTTTCCCAACACGTAAATTTGCCAGTGTTCCTCCATTTTGAATCTTTGTCCAACGCAGAACTGCTATCATGATGTGTGTTAATTTTACGTCCAGTAGCCACTGTTACAGGCTTTCAAACTACTTTCAGCCATATGAGTAAGGATACTGTGCCTCAAGTTTGAGGATGAGTTTTCAGTTTCATCCCTTCATCTAGAGATAGTTGGGGGTGAAATAGAATCAAAGGGACAGAGAGTTTGGTGTTCTTCCACTTGATTTGTGTGTAATGGAACATGGCACCTATATTCCTATTACAGTGCTCATTTCAAAATAAATCATTTTCTTTTGCAGAGTCTTGCTCCTTATCTATTACTTAGGTTGACAAAACGGTGATCACTGTGAACGAAGAAGGAAGTGATTCTGTTATGATTTTTTTATTCTTATACTTTTCATGAATTAGGGTGCTTACCCTTAAGTAGCTAAGTCTCAACTAGAAAAATGGACATGTGTCCAAGTAACTGTGGTACCTGATGACAAATGCCACAATACATATAAACAAAGAATGTCGACAGGGAAGCAACCACATAAATGAAAAAGTCTATACTAGGATCCTTGACTCTTAGTAAAATAGTTACCTTAGCCCCACAGCTATAGACATGGAATATGATAAGTATTGTGGGAAAGTCACTTACAAAGTATGGAAACAAGTCACTTTTTAATCAGGTGTGTTTTTTACAGTATGTTTATGCAGAAAAATAACATTCCAAATAGCTAAAAGCATGTACAGTTGCTGAAATTTAATGCATAAATGCTAATGGATACCTAAACATTTAAAAGATTGTTTCTGTTGATTTGATTTTAGGACTAGTTGAGGTTTTTATTGAACAGCCTCCTTGATATCAACAGTGTATTTTATAATTTCTGAAAGCAGAGTTAATATCTGACTGTAATTATAAATATATAATGGAGAAATTTAGCAATTTCCATCTTGTTATTTGCATTTTCCTAGCTAGATCTTTGTAATAGGGGTATATGATTTATATATTAAGTTTGGTGCTTTAGACAGTGCAAGGTGATTATGATTTGCTACTTATAAAAATAAGTTCCAGGCATATCAACTTTTACTTAACACTTTGACTCAACACTTGAAAAAGCAAGTGATTCTCTGTTTAAAAAAAAAAAAAAAAAAAAAAAAAAAATATATATATATATATATATATATATATATATGTGTTAAGAGCTATGGCAGTCTCGCTGTGTTTGCAGTAAATGTGAGGCATACGTCATGAAGACCAGGAGATGTTAGATGTGTGGTGGGTAGGAAGGGAAATAGGCCCCACCAAGGTACAGTTTATGATAGTATTCTAGTTTGTCTGAATCGAAACTGATGATCAGAGATCCGTGATCAGAGATCCATGGATCCCTAGTAGCTAGAGTCAGGGAAATTCAGATAGGGAGTAAACACAAAGGGAATTATTCACATATTGGCTCAGAGGTGACTAACCAACTACTTCTTGGAATGAAGTTAGCATTTTAATTGATTACAAGATTGCAGCAGCTAATATTATAGCACAACCTGGTGCTCAGCGCCTGACTGGCCAGAGCTATTGACCTGTGAATAGATACTCCAGGAGAAGTATCTAACAATCCCCAGAAGATGTGAAATATAACTTTATACTTTACCTGGAAAACAGCAGATGTTTAGTTCATAGATCATAGTTGGTGAAAATAGTTTTTGATTGTCACCACTTATTCTTTAAACTCTTTAAATATTTGCCTTCCCTGCTATATTGTTATCTTGGGGCAACAACACTGTCATTTCCATCTCTGGATTGATTCCACCCAATAGTGGCTCAATAAATGAGTGAATAAAAGAATAAATAAAGGAAAAGTCTTCTTCATAAAATAAATTGTAGAGCCCACACTACAATCTTAAACTTTGAGTTCTTAACACTGTGCCCAGAAGAAGCAGCAAAAGAGGGCGAATTAAATGAGCTGCAAGGGTGAGAGTTTGCTCTCACAGAAAGCCACCCATTCCTCTGTGTCACACAAGCAGGGGATGATCCAGGCTGTTACACCACACCAAGGGAGAAAGCTCTCCAAAAGAAACAGAGCTGGCGCCCGTGGCTCAGTGGGTAGGGCGCCAGCCACATACACCCAGGCTTGCGGGTTCAAGCCTGGCCCAGGCCAGCTAAACAACAGTGACAACTGCAACAACAACAAAATAGCCAGGCACTGTGGCGGGTGCCTGTAGTCTCAGTAACTTGGGAGGCTGTGGCAAGAGAATCACTTAAGCCCAAGAGTTTAGGTTGCTGTGAGCTGTGATGCTATGGCACTATACCCAGGGTGATGGTGCCCTGTCTCAAAAAAAAAAAGAAAAGAAAAGAAAAGAAAAGAAACAGAACAAAAGGAAATAAACAAACAAAGGTATGCAAGAGTCAAGATCCATACCATCTGGAAATAAGAGCTTTTAAACTTTGTCACTTTGCCAAGACCGGCACACCTTGGTGTTTCAAAGCCCTCATCCTTCTCTGGGTGGCACAGCCCAGAGCTTGCTGGGTTGCACAAACACGTGCTTATGTGACAGAAAAGGTAACTGAGCTCTAGATGGCACATGTGGCTGCCCAGTGTCAGAAAGGGCGAGAAGGAGCAGCACCTAGGCCTGGCGATGCTCGTCCATGCCCAGCCCTTTGTTGTATGTCTCCATTTTCCACTCCCTGCACTTGGCCCAAGAGTGCTAAAGAAAGTTCACCAAAAAGGCAAAAAAAAATAGAAAACAGGAGATGAAAATAGATTACAAATAACAACAACACAGTATATGAAGGTAATGATTTTTTTTAAACCGTAGGGATGAAAGGAACCAGCTCTCAAAATAACTACCCTGATGCTTTAATACCTTCAAAGCCAGGATTTCTTAGATTGGTAGGGCTCAGCCTCCTTGTGTTTCTGGAAGATGCTTCACACAACAGACTTTTAATTATAGAGCACTTCACCGAGCAGTTTTCCTTCTTCAGTTCTGTTCACTTATATTCACTTTAGATTTTTTTCCAAAAAAACCCTATAACTGTTTTTTTCTTTTTTTATTGAACGGTTTGAAGGGGAGAATATTTAAAGGAAGACACCAGTTTCTATTGTATTGTTTAAAATGATGGTTAGAAAGATCTGTTGAATACATTTTACGATGTCTCCCTAGTTTGAGAAGATGTTTATTGCACTTAACATAGGATGCACTCTTAAGGTTTTATGAAGAGTCTGGCACTGTGGATGGTGTTTTATAGTGTAGATAGTGAATAAATATGTAGAAAATAAAAGCAAGGAAGAGAGGACTCTAACAGGCAGACAGGCAGGGAAGTGTCTGTTTGGAAATCTAAACCCCATTTTTAACTTATCACTGTCCTTAAAAAACAAAATAGGATTCATTTAAATTATGGTATTGCTGACAAAGAGATAACTCAAACATATATCTGGTGGAAATAGACCCTGGAATTGAAGAAACACACTTAATGAGCTCATGTAATAAGTATTAAATTTGCATGTGATAATAAAAACGGTAGATACAACAACAGATTGAAAACTAGTCTCCTTCATCCTACAGTCTGCTGGTGTTTCTCCATTGCCTCCAGGATAAAGATACGCTCTTTAGCGTAACATTCAGGGTCCAGACACACTTTCTGTTACCTTCCCGTTCTCTTGCCCCTTTTGTACCCTTACGATGCCTCCTGTATAACATATACACACACCCCTATATTTTATTTTACCTGTTTGTACTCCTGAAATTTTTGCTTTACCTTTTTGCCTTTATAAACTTACTGTAAGATGACAGTTGGGGGCAATGTGTTAATCAGATGTACTAATATTTGCTACTGCATGTGTTGGCTAATATATTGTCATTACAGTGGCAAATAAGAGGTATTTTTCCTGTGTTTGCTTTCCTATCGATAGTGCCGGTGTAATAACCCTAGCATATTCCTCTGTAATGAACTCTGACCTTATAGAAAGTGAAGCATTTGGTCACTGTTGAAACTGCATTGCTTAGTCTCCCCCTCCTCTGGATAGGTAGCACACATCTAAGGGATTAATTCAGAATGAAAATAATGCATGTGAACTCAACAAGGTGTGATGAGACCAGTGACAGGGTGATACAGTGGCTGCTAATGAAGCACTGGAAATCACTGGTGACGTTTCTGCCCGGCCGAGTATAAATAACAATAATGATAAAATCAGTACGTTTTATTGAGTACCTATTATTTTTAAGAAGCCATGCTGATTGCTTTACACACAATTGCTTTTCCTTCTTAAGGTAAGCTGGCTATGTAGATATTATTACCTTTATTTTTTTTCCCATTTTTTGGAGATGAGGCCTCATTTTGTTGCCTCGGCTGGAATGCAGTGACTGTTCACAAGCATAATCATTATGCATTATCACCTCAAACTCCGGCCCCAAGGGGTGCTGCTCCCACCTCAGCCTCCTGACTACCTGGGACTATAGACACACACTATCACACCGGACTATTATTCTTAACTTTGTTAACTGAAAAGCCGAGTGTTAGAAATAACTGGCCAAACCACACAGCCAGTAGTTGCTGGATTGGTCTCTAGTCGAGCCTGACTCTCAGACGCTCTGTATGCTACCACGTCTCCCAGGAGGCCTTCCCAAGCTCTCCCCACACACCTTCTGTGCTTAGTGGAGGCTCTGATCAGCAGATCTCTGTCAGCACTCATCATGATGCACCACGATTAATTACTGATGT